ACAAGGGTGCAGTGTACTCAAAGGAGAATCAGAAAGCTTTCCTCGGCCAAGATGCATTCTTGTCCAATGATGTTTTGTCATGTATGTTTATATACTTAAGGGTTGAGTATTTCATTTGAAAGAAATTGCTATTAAAGGAGATTCAGATGTACTTAACATGGAAATAGATTCAATAATGGAGTCACCAAAGACGGAGGAATAAAGTCTCTACATATATGATAAAACATTGGGAGTTTTCTCTCCCAGAAGACACTGTCTCCACATACTGTAAAGAATTCTCTCTTTTGATTCCCTGTGGGTCTTGGTCACATGGACCCAATTGTAACTATTAAAAAAAACCGCCTTGCATATGCAGCCTGTATTTTTCGCCTGGCTGGAGGGACTAATAACCCCATAGCCACTGCAGCCTGCTGTGAGGTTGCTGGGAGAGTGGATTAGCTATGCCCGCGTTGATTTTGAATGAGCATACCCCCGGAAAGCTTTGTGGCCAAAATAGTTTCTTAGGTGGCAAGATTACCACGTTTGTAGAACTGGTGGTTCACCCTTACAAACACCTGTACATCTATGGAGCTAAGCTTTCCTTACCAAAAGATGCACAGATGCAGGAACAGAACTCGTCACACTTTTGCCTCCATGCCTTTTTGTATTTCTGTTCCTGTTCCCTCTCAACCATCCTTTTTTGAAAGAAGTGGAGGACATGAAGATATATCAACATGCCTTTGCATTGTTCTGTTCCTACCACATCTCCAGGAAAATCAGACCAATTAGTTTACACAAATTATTTACATTGGGATGTTAAGAATCAGTGAAACCAACTGACTAGAATTTTTGTGTTCAATATGTTACTCATGAGCAAAGTACTTGCCTGAGCCTTTGCCCCACTAGTTACTGATCCTGATTTTCCCAGTAGAAGAGACTATATTGTCTGAACAAGTTTGTGGCCAGTTAATGTTTAGGCATACGGGCAGGAAGGATGTGTGGTTTGTGTCCACTTACTAGAGTGGTGTGTTCCAGTGTCAAAGATCTTGAGAACACTGGGGAGGTGTTGGTTCCACTCACGTGGTGAGTTGAGATAACCTAAACCAGGGGTTGTCACACTTTTTAAACAGGGGACCAGTTCACTGTCCCTCAGACCGTTGGAGGGCCGGACTATAGTTTTAAAAAAGCTATGAAAAAATTCCTATGCACACTGCAAATATCTTATTTGGAAGTAAAAAAACAAACAGGCAAAAACACCAGCATGTGGCCCGCAGGCCATAGTTTGAGGACACCTGGCCTAGATTGTGGAGAGTGAATTTCAGACTTACTCTGTAATACCGTATATACAGCAGTTAAGGCATTCCCTTCAAGTTGAAGTTTGTGTATCTAGATATCTATAAATATGTCCTGGAAGAAACAAATTTGAATTAAATCTTTCAAGACAATACACTTTTACCAAATTAGAAAGAAGAGTTAGTTAAAAATTATTGATGAAAATTAATAGCAGGAATAATTAAAATCCCTAAAGTACCAATTCTAGTACAGAATTGCTCTAAGAAGTTTCTCCTGTTGCCAGGTGCTGATTTTCAGGGACGTGGAGGTGAGGGGTATGGGGTATGTTTTCTTTATTAAGCCAGGAGGGACATGTATATGTACATTCTACATACACATGTTCAGCATGTGTTGTAATCATTATATCAATTTGACCTGGAAAATTAGTAATACATTTATGTGTAAGGAACTGCTGATTTTCAGAGAGGATCAAAAGGATAAAATATTCTTTTATTTTTATTACGAGATAAAGGTTTGGAAATCTAATTTCATCTTTATTTTCCTTTTTCTTTTTCACCAAGAAAATATGGTTTTTATTATAGTTCTTTCTTGTTATATGCACCTGTGTTTTCTTGACTCCCACCACCCCAGGTTATATGTGGCTGCTTTCTATTTATTCTCTTTATTATTTTGTGCTTTCACTTCTTAAAGCCAGTCAGCAACTGTGGCTCTGAACCACTTCTTTGTTGTTGAATCTTTTCTAGGGATGAACTGACGCCAGTTAGAGCATGTATCTATAACTATAGACTTCCAGTAAAATCTGCCTTCCCACAACACTTTCATTCACATATTACAATATAAATGTACACAAACACAAGTGCTTAGGGGAATTTTCTATTTAAACAAACTGACTTAAGTACTTTTTAATCCAAGGAGTACTTATTTTTTTAAGAGACAAGCTCATACTCTGTCACTCAGGCTGGAGTACAGTGGTGCAATCATAGCTCACTGTAGCCTCAAACTCCTGGGCTCAAGCAGTCCTCCTGCCTCAGCCTTTTGAGTAGCTGGAACTACAGGTGAGTACCCACCATGTCTTGTCATGGCCCGTTTGCAGGATGGAAGATGAACACAGAACACAAAAGACACACAGACACACACAAAGATGGTTACAAGACTACAGTGCAGAATGCACCAGTCGTTTTATTTTTATACTACAAAAATCAAAGTTAGTTCCTTGTATGTGCCCATCCAGGCGTGGCAGCGATAGCCATAACTTCCGGAACACGTAGCCTAAGGACACAGATGTCTCCTGACTCAGGGTTTCCAGGCAGGTGCTTGAGGAGCCAGGCATAGATCACAGACGGAGATTAGCAAGATTGGGCAAGGCCGCCACAGGGGGCATTTTTCATCCCCAGTTCCTCTTAGACCAATCCCCTGCAGCTGTGCCTGGCTTATGTCACCCCTCCCTTGAGGGGTCTTACCTGTCATTGACTAACCAGCCATCTTATGGGATTAAGCAGCAATCAAAAGAACAATGTGCTTATTGTTCTTATTGTGCTTATTGGCCTCCACGTATTGTGGGGCTGGCCAGCTCTTGCCTCAGTGCAGAAACTCAGGCCTGTTCTTATGCCTCTAGGCAGCAACCGTGTTTGTCACTAGGGCCTTCTCCGGAACACATTACTTTCAAATGCTCTGGGAGAAACACATACATTACTCACTAAATTTAATTGTTAAACTAGGAAAATATATGTCAGTCCCCTATAATGTCTGGCTAATCTTTTAGACTTTTTGTAGAGATAAGATCTCACTATGTTGCCCAGGCTGGTCTCAAACTCCTGACCTAAAGCAATCCTCTTGCCTTGGCCTCCAAAAATGCCAAGATTACAGGCAAGAACCATCATGCCCAGCCAAGGAGTACTTTTATATTGAAAATATATACCCCTAGTTTATTGGGGAGCAGTAGGAAAATAAATGTGATCTTCAGGCCAAATCTAAATCATTTGTCACAAAATCATTAAAGATTCTATATCAATTCCTCTAAAATAGCTGGTTTTTCTCTCTGTTCTGGCTGTCTTTTCATGCCAACACATTCATCTCCTTTAGAGCCTAAAGGTATCAACAGAAACATGTTTTTCTCCCTTTATTTTCCAAAGCTGTTGTGCACAGTAGCATTTTAGAGAATTATTCTTTATCTGCCATACAGAGGTCTTTGAAGATTCATAAATCTTATTGATGCCTTTTGTTAGAAGAGTATTTAAATATTTAAGAGACAGCTGAAATATAAAATTAAAATTCTCCCAGTTTGTCTCTCTTGGAGGGTTGGGGAAAATAATTATGATCTTCCAAAATTTGAGAAGAACAAATATTTCCTTAACCAACTACATGGCTACACTACCAAATATGATAGCCAGTGGCCACTAAAATTTAAATTTAAGGAAATAAAAATCAGTCTATCAATTGCACTGGCCTTTTTGTTATAAATAGATTCACTATGCCTTCATCCTTTAGGGTTAGTTGTTTAAAACAACTTACTCTGTGTGTAAGTGTGAAGCATCACAATTCACTTGTTCCTGATTGAGCTTATCCTAGGGCAAATAGCACTTCTTTCAATCTCTGAAAAAGAGAAGGCTGTCTGTCTCTTCCCAAACTATGAGATGAAACTGGTGGAAATAAAACATTGCTGCACATTAAGGAAATAGAGTCAGCTCCTCCTCCCTTCCCCATACTCCTCATCCACCTGTTTCCCCTATTTCAGAGGCTTCTCCTCAGAGCAGCAATGCCCAAGAGAATCCTCTGAGATGCTGGAAGTGTTCTGTGTCTGCACCGCTAGTCATGCAGGAGTGTTGAGCACTGCACAAAAAGGCCAGTGCAATTGATAGACTGATTTTTATTTCCTTAAATTTAAATTTTAGTGGCCACTGGCTATCATATTTGGTAGTGTAGCCATGTAGTTGGTTAAGGAAATATTTGTTCTTCTCAAATTTTGGAAGATCATAATTATTTTCCCCAACCCTCCAAGAGAGATTATAATTCTTTCCCACAACAAATAATAATCTGAGCAATTATTAGAATCTGACAAATTTTACATTTAATTTCTGTAGTGTAATAACTTGATGTCAATTTAAGAACTGTAAAATTTATTCTTATGGCTACATATGATCATAAGAAATTTTTAGTCAAGGGAACATGTATTTCATAAAATATATTGGAGATAAGAAGTGCTGTAACCATCATTATGATACAATGATAGAGTTGATGTATCTTGATATCACTGATAGTATTATAAGCAAAAAGTAGTCTGTCTAGCTAATCTATTATATATTTATTTATGACTTTTAGAAGTTGTCAGCTCTGCAGTTTGGTGAGACATCACACATACAATTGTCATTTAATACTCTCTCGCGTCTTCATATGTTAGTAGGTTTTCTCCTACTGTTTCTGTTAGCTCTTGCCTGTCTTTTTTGTTTTTAATCCATTGCTAGGCTTTGTCAATCTCACCAATTATATTCAGTCTTTGTCCTATAAAGAAATTATTACATTGCAAAGAGATATAAAATCATTGAGTTGTGTCATTTTGAAATTTTTAATACATCAATGATGGAACAACATTGTACTGAAACACAAATGACACAGGGCTGTGATGCTTGAAAGAAAACTTCACAATGTCAAAAATTAAGCTTCATTTCCTGACTGACATACAGTGCAAAAAATGTCACCAAGTTAACCTCTCTCTCACAAAATCAACTCAGTTGCCAAAGCTAGGTACAGAGTTGGAGGAGAAGAAACTGCCCGATGGAACACCTGGAGCGGAGGATGGCTATGAAGGGAAAAAGTCTACTTGTTGTGTGAGCCACTCCTGCCACAAGGAATCTGAGCCGGAGTCTGCAGGAGCTTTGTCACTGAACCCACACTGCAGTCCCTTGGCGACAGACGCACGCTGGTCTGCTGAGAGCGGCACCGGGGCTGGAGCTCCCAGAGGGACAGGACTATCCGTGCTCTGTCCACTTAGGTATCGAGCAGCTGTGTTCTGAGATTTTAGAGTCCTTCATCAGAAAAGGGTAGAGAACAACTCTGCCTGGTGTATCAGTCTCAGTGTGTCTATTCCTCCGGAGCTTGGTTTCGTTTCTCCGCCCACCCTCCCCTTTTGAGATAATGAGTTCTATTGTCCATTGCTTTGCGTTTTTTATTTTTCAAGTGAGAAAACCCTGAGAACTGAAGAACTGAGAATTTTTTTCTTCAGAGCTCCTGTGTTATCATGTTAAGTTACAGAGTATTCCTTATTTCCTCATTAAGTGCATTAATTTTTTAGACATATGCTTTGTCTACATAATAGTCATGGATGTAAGTTTCATGTGCACAAAATAAAACTTAAGAAGCCACTTGAAAGGCTTAATATAGGAGTTTAAAATTAACTAATTTAATTAATATTACATATTGCTATTTTTAAAATTCAGGTAATAGTAAAGGGGAAATAATATCTTCTTGTGCAAAATTCTATTTCTTCTCTGTCCTTGTGTGTGTCAACAGAAAAGAAGCCAAACTCTGTAAAATATTTTTAAAGAGGTTTATTCTGAGTCAAATTTGAGGACCATGGCCTGGAGCCACTCCCAAGAAACCTTGAGCAAGCAGACTCGCCATGGCTGAGTGTAGGGGACTGACATATATTTTTCTAGTTTAAGAATTAAATTTAGTGAGTAACGTACGTGTTATGCCCAGAGCGTTTGAAAGTCATGTGTTGCGGACAAGGCTCGTGTGACAACCACGGTTGCTGCCTAGAGGCATAACAATAGGCCTGCCTGTGTGCAGAGGAGAGCAGGGACCCAGGCATGAGCCCTGGTGCCGGCCACGTCAAGAGGCTGACCAAGGGGTGAGACAGCAAAGGAGACGGAAGAACCGGTGGCAGTGACAGGGGACAGCCCTCTAGAGTCACGCAGCCAGTGAGCACAGTGGAGTAGGAACGCAGTCATCCCCCGGGATTCGAGGGGTGTCTGTTTCATGCTCCCCGTGGAAGCATGGGAATGCATGGATGCTCAAGTCCTTTATATCACATGGGGTAGTATTTGCATATAACTACATGCATCCACCCACATGCTTGGAACCGTCTCTAGGTTATGATACCTAACACAGAGTAACTGCCGTGTAAACGGTTGTACACTGTACTGTCTAGGGCATAATGACAAGAAACAACATCTGTGCGTGTTCAGCACAGACACAACCATCCATTCTACTTTCGATCCACGGCTGACTGGATCCGAAGGTGCCCCGGCCGCAGAGGGCCAGCTGCACGTAGTGGGAGTGCTGTGTGGAGGAGCTAGTGAAGGCCATGCGTGTCAGCGAGCTATTGTTGTTTCAGAACTTACCCCCAAACTTAGCAACTTAAAACAACATACATTTATTTTTTCATGAGCAACACAAGTATAATAATAGGTTATTGCTTTAAGTTTCACAAACTTAGTTTTCATCCTAGCCCTCTCCTATGGGTACTAGTATTCCATCTTACAGATGAGAAAACTGAGGCTCAGTGAGGATGGTAGGGATGGAGAGAATTGAATGGGTTCAAAAGCATTCATTCAGGACAGATTGCAAGGAGGGGTGGGGGAGTTTCTTTGAGTCACGGATCCAAGGACAGCTTAGCTGGGTGTCTCTGCTCAGGGCCGTGCCCCAGCTGCAGCCTGGCGGCAGGGCTGCTGGCATTCTAAGGCTTGACTTTGAAAGAAGGGATCTGTTTCCAAACTCACTCCATGGTTGTAGGCAGGATTCAGCAGGGTTGTTGGACTGAGGGCCTGAGTTCCTCAGACTGTTCCTGAGACTCCTTCAGCTCTCTGGCCTGTGGTCTCTCTGTGGGGCGATTTGTCACATGGCAGTTGGCCTCCTCTCTTGGGAGAGAGGACGAGCAGGATGGAAACCAGATCCTTCAGTGACCTAATCGCAGAAGAGCCTCCCCGTGACTTTTGCCATATCTCGTGTGTTCGAAGCAAATCACTAGGTTCAGCCCAACTCAAGGGGAGGGGACTCCACAAGAGAGTGACTTGAGGAGCTGGGGACCTGGGAGGGACATCCTAGAGGCTGTCAGCCATGGTGTGGCAGTGGAGAAAGCTGTAGAAGTGGCAGCCCGAGGGAGAAGTGGGCCCAGGACCAGTCCCCGAGGAGCCTGACAACTGAAGGGCTAGCAGAAGGGGAGGCATCTGGGACGGAGAAGAGGCTGAGAAAGGACAGTGTATAAGTCCCATGAGCAACACAAGTATAATAATAGGTTATTGCTTTAAGTTTCACAAACTTAGTTTTCATCCTAGCCCTCTCCTACGGGTACTAGTATTCCATCTTACAGATGAGAAAACTGAGGCTCAGTGAGGATGGTAGGGATGGAGAGAATTGAATGGGTTCAAAAGCATTCATTCAGGACAGATTGCAAGGAGGGGTAGGGGAGGAAGAGAGAAGGTTCATGGCAGGCTCATGGATTAGATGGTTTCCATAGAGATGAAAATGCTGTGCAGTCTCCTTATCACTTGGACAGGTGTGACTCAGTTTCTATGAGTCCAGATAGTGGTGCCTGGGATTCGAGTGGGGCCTCCTAGACGGCTTGGAAGCTGCTCGCCGTGATAGGCCATTTTCTCTTCTCTTGCAGCTTTGGATACCTCCCGCCTTTGGCTGTCGGATTGGAGGAAATTGTCTTTGACAATGTATTGGAGGAAATTGTCTTTGGCTTTGAACCTTGGATAATTGTGGTCAACCTGGCCATGCCTTTTTCTGTTTTCTACCGAATGCATGCAGCTGCCTCCCTCTTTGAGGTCTATTGTAAGATATAATCTGGGTCCACAAGAGACTGAGGAATGAGCAAACGAGAGAGTCCACTGGAGCCACCTGGGAAAGGCGAGGCCACCTGGGCAAATACTGCTTTACAAATATGAGAAGGGCCACCCTTTGTCTGCAAAGACTGTGTTTCCTGTGGCTGGAGTTGCCCATCACCCTTGACAAATGTAAACAGGTTAGATCAGAGTCCAGGAGGTGAGAGCTGCCCTTGGTTGGCTCATTCTAATCAAACCCAAATTACTTTATCATGTTTTAAATGAGCCACTCTGTTTTAGGAGAATGTGATTCTAGGTTTGTAAAAAGATTTATCCAGTTTGTTTTGCATAAAAATCATTTTCTGTTTATGATGTATTGTGTGACTCCATACATTTCCCTGACCATCTGCATAGTAATCACTCTTAAATTTTACCCTTCTCAGAGCTGATGAAGGTCGGTATAGTCACAGCTAGCTTATGTTATAGTTTCTGATAGCCTTAACTTCTGAACAAAGTTACTTTACTCATATGGATGGAAATTTATATATAGATCAATATGAAGACATTTCTAAGCTGAAATTTTGACTTGTTTTTATTTGTAATCATTTTGAAGTATTTTTAAAAACAAATTTTATTGTTCACTTTTCCACTATAAATATATACACATTTATTATAGAAAACTTGGATATTTCAGAAAAGTAGAGAAAAAAATCATCTGTGATGCCATTGTTCAACTAACAATTACTTTTTAAGATCTTGGTATATTTCTTTTGACTGTGTTGATGCATAGGATTCTTTTTATTGTCATTATTGTACCTGCTAGTGGTGATGCAACATGTTCACTTTTGTATCCAGCGTTTTACCCACTTAACAGTATGGCATAAACGTTTCCCCTGTATTGTTATAAACTCTTTATAAACATCATTTTAATGCTGTATTATAGTCTATCAAGTGAATGTATCATAATTAACTTAGTTTCCTATTATTAGTTTTAGAATGTTTATAACTTTTTGCTTTTATACGTGACTACAAAAATTAACTATATTTGTAAAGCATTTCTTATATTTAGTATTGCTTCTTTAAGATATATAATTAAAATTAGACAGCCTAATCCAAAGGTTATAAACATTTTAAATATTTTAAAGATGCCTAAGGAATATTGATATTTGGGAGGCCTTTGTATATGTTTTTCGATACCTACTTTAAAATCATAATAAAATTAGTTTACTTACTGTAAATACTAATGGGAATATCTTTTCATATCAACAGCACAGGCAATGGGACATTAAGAAACCAAGTTATTTTTACATGACTAAAATACTTTATGTTCATGTTGGAAAAAATGCAAAAAAGGCATATGTACTGGGAACAAAGGAAAACGTCATCATAACACTGCCCATCTAGACCAGGGTCCCCAACCGTTTGGGCATCAGGGACCGGCTTCACGGAAGACAATTTTCCGTGGACCATGGGTGGGGATGGTGTCGGGGCGATCCCAGCACATTACATTTGTCTGCAGTCGGACCTCTCTGCTAACGGTGACCTGTGTCAGCAGCCGCTCCCCAGCGCCAGCATCACCGCCCAGCTCCACCTCCGATCCCAGGCATTAGATTCCCACAAGGAGCGCAGCCTAGACCCCTCCACGCGCAGGTTCCAGCAGGGCTCGTGCTCCTGTGAGCATCCAACGCCGGCGCTGATCCGACAGGAGGCAGAGTTTACGGTGATGCGAGTGATGGGGAGTGGCGGTAAATACAGATGAAGCTTCACTCACCTCCTGCTGCGTGGCCCATTTCTTAACAGGCCATGGACTGGTACCAGTCCACCGCCAGGTGTTGGGGACCGCAGGTCCAGAGCATGGGTTCTCAGTCTGGGGGGCTGTTTCCCCAGGGAACCTTTGGCAATGTCTGCAGACATGTTTGACTGTTACCACTGGGGGTGTTCCTGGCATCTGGGGGGTAGAGACCCGGGACGCTGCTGAGCACCCTGCCACATGCGGGACAGCCCCACCCTGAGGAATTGTGTGGCCTAGAGTGTCAGTGATGAAGTTGGGAAACTGACCTAGAATTGATCTTTGGTACCCAGGTACCTATTAGTACACACACACAAACACACACACGGGGTTATTTTTATATATATCGAATTTGTATGTAACTTGCTTTTTTGTCTTAATACACCAGAGTTTGCTTCTTACCAATTTTGGGGGCCCTGTGGCCTTGATTAGTTAGGAATCATCTGGAGAACTGGTTAAGATTCCTGCCCTCCAGCTGGAAGTTCACATTCTGTCTGTCTGAGTGGGACCCAGAAATCTGCATTTTATAGGCATGCCAGGCGATGCCAAGGCCCTTTGAGAAGCAGCTCCTTGGGAGTCCGTGGTCCTCAAGTTAAGACTCCCGAACAATGTTCCTTGACATGTGCATTTGTTTGCAGTGTGGTTTTGTAAAGTGTATTCCACGGAGGGTTATAACATTCCTTGTTTAGTCAAACCATGATGCTGGACACTTAGGGACATTTAGGTGATTTCTTCTTTTTGGTGAGATTATAAACAACACCATCGTGAGCATCTTCATAACTGAGTCTTTGAGCTCCTTGGCAAATTGCTCTCTGGAGTGATCTATGTTGACTCAGCAACAACTGAGCGGGAATGCTGGTTTCTTCATCTGGATTGGCATTATTTTACACTCTGTTCTAGGCACATCAGTCAGCACAGCTCTGAGGCCTCAGCCTGTGGGTTTTGGGCTTTGACAAGGAGATGAAGGGAGCCATAATAACGTTGGGCAATTGATCTAGGCTGTGGTGGTGTTAGGGTGGACAAAGGGTACTGTCAGAGCTTGGAAAAGCCAGCAGGTCTGGTTGTGCTCAGAGCTTTCAAGGAGTGGCCTTAAGGTGAAGCGTCTCAGCGCTAGGGACAGAGCTCTGCCCTCACAGATGTCAGGCCGCTGCCACCACAGGTCAATGCGCTGACTCAGTCAGCTCACAGGGCCAGGAAAATTTATGATCTTAATACCAAGGCAATTCACAGAAGAGGAGTCAGAGAATACATTAAATGGGTGTCAAGATCTTGAGGCTCTAATAAGTGAAATAGAAATTAAAATAGTAATGAGTTACCACTTCCCATTTATCAGATGGGTGAGGGTTGGCAAGATGTGGAAGAAGGGGACTCCCAAGTACTGCTGGTGGGAAGGCAAATCAGTAAACCAGGCTGGAGAACAGTTGGCAATATCTACTAGGGCTGGGGGTGCACTTTCCTTAAGACCTGGAAACTCCATTCCTTGGTGTGTGCCCCAGAGACAATCTCACACGTGTCCGTTGTGTTCGGGAATGTTCACGGCAGCGTTGCTTATCATTGGGAAACAACCCAACAAAGGGAAACAACTCTAAATGTCTGTCAATTAGGAGTACATATAGAAATGGCTTATGGATGTTCTGACAAATGGAATATTTCCAGGATGAAAGGAATGGACAGAAACTTATTGAGGACAATGGAAAGTTCCCAGAAACAGACACTTGCATTGAAGAATTAGTAGAGCAGGGTTTATGAAATGTAATGAGATATTAAAATTCTTAGCCAACAGGCAAGACAAGCCCCTTGATGTTTATTTGGGTAACAAAGCCAATGTGTAGTAAAGATTATAAACAGATTGTGCAAGAAAGACTAAGGCCAAGCCCAGTGAGTGGGAGGGGGGCGGGGCTTGGATGACCGATGGGATGCTGTGTCTGAGGGCGGTCCCTTAAGCAAAGAGAACGGGTGCAGAGGCAATCATGTAAATCTTTTGTTCCTGCACTTTTTAAAAAATATCACGAATCATTTCGTAGTAAAAACCTTTGAAAGAAGAAAAAAAGATCAGTAAACAGAAGATGAACTTTGACAAAGCCACCAAAACGGGTAAAATTTCCCAAAACTCACTATCCATCTGTTTGAAAAGAAAGATGAGTTTGGCCCAAACCTGCGTGCCTCTGGTTCTTTTGGCAAGGTAGACCACTGGGTGTGGGCCATTTCAAATGCTAATAGCAAGTATAACAAGTATATTACACATGAAATATTAATACCCCCAGGGTGAACCTATATGTTTTTTTATACAGAAACTGAATTTTAGCTAAACTCTTTCACTGCAGGGACCATGCCCTGGACACAATACACGTGAAAACATATACAATATGATGAAAGGAAGCCAAATTGAAACCCTAAGTCAAGTTGTGGGTTGGGAGTATTAAGGAAAGGGTGGGCCTTTGGGTTGAGAAAAGAAAAACAAGGCCCTCATGACGGACTGTTGCCCTGTAAGAAGGGGCTGGAACTCGCAAAATCCGCCTTTCCGCCATGGTGAAGGGTGCGGTGAGAAACTAGATCTGCAAAAGCACCAGAAAGAGGGCCCTCACAAGAAACCTGAAATACTGGCCCCGTCCCCTGTTCTTGGCATCCAGCCCCCAGAACTGTTGAGAAATAATGTTTCCGCTGCTTGGCACCGCCTGTGGTGCTCTGTTGTGGCAACGCATTCATTGCCCCTTTGAAAAAAAATCATTGCAAGCCCAGGAGCCTGTGCCAACTCCTTTCTGAGCCCGCTGGCCTGAAAAATTCGAAACTTTAAATGTTTTGGGAAAGCGTTGGCTTATGGTGAGGCAGAGTGGCAGGGGCATGTGCCATGGAACCGGACGTTCCCTTTAGGTGACAACGGGCCTACCTAAAACCTGGGGTAAATTGCCTTAGAAAAAGGTTATGTCCTGTCCACCAGGACATTGTCCAAAACCACCAAAAAACCCCAAACTCCATGGGCAAATTAAAAAAAATTGGTCCCCCATCAGCAAACTGTGAAATAGGATGCCTGTTTTTGTAGCCCGCTAATAAAAAACTTCATCCCTGCGTCTTTTTGAGCCTGCGAGGGTCCCCAGCTTGGGCGTAGGCGGAGGAATTGTTTCGGAAATGAGGAAGGGACCCATGGATCGTACGTAGGCAGACCGTGGTAGCATGGAAATTAATGCCAAAAAGCCATTTAAAAAAAAGCTTTCTGTTTAGCCATAACATCTTAAAAGAAAGTTCAACTCGCGTAACATATCCTGGAAACAATGTTCCTGGAATAGTGTGCAGAATATAACCAAGTTCTGCTGACAGCCTAGCCTTTCTTTCACCCAGTTTTTAACAAAATGCTCCGCTTTTGCTTTAAACAAAGGCTATTATTCGTCCACAGCAGGGCCCCTGCCGCTTCAAAGGGCAAAACGAGCAGGCACCTGTTTTCCAGGTAGCAAAAGCCCTGAAATTCCATTTGGATCCCCTGCGGACCTTGTTTCCACGAGGTTTGCCTTGCCAACTCAGGTGACGGCGGGAAGGGCTGGAAGGTTCTCCAGGGGAAAGCCTAAGGCTTTGCGCAACTCCAGCAAAGAAATGCGCCCTGCACTTGCCGCAAAATTTCCCGCGCGCCTGGGGCGTTTGCCGGTCCACCAGGGCTGCAGGAACAGGGGGTTCCAGGAAGTCCGCCAAGCCTGCGGGTTTGGGAAGCGGGGTTTTTGAGTCTAGGGTGGTCGGGCAAGCTTGCCCGGAGGGCACGTGTTTGTGTTGATGGGGAACACGGAAGGAGAACCTCAGGCCCATGGGAGGACGGGGACTATGACACCTTGATTTTTAACCTGCAAAAAGGAGGCCGCTCCTTG